CGCGCTGTGCATGGAATCACCAAGAGTGCCTTTTTGCTGATGATCTCCTTCGTCGCGGCCGCTGACGCCATGTCCATTGCGGCCCCGAAGACCAATGAGATCGAGAATTCAAGCTTTTTGTATCACCAGCATCCTCAATTTGCAGCTGGTGTGGACAACCTTTCTTTGCTGTTGGGAGAACCAACGTCTCTCTTCAGTCGAACTGATGATGGAACCTGGCAACCAATGGAAACAGTCTCACCGAAGCCTTTTGCTTTCCAACATCCAGTTGATCTTTGCTGGGTGTACCCGACCAATGACAGCACACAGTGGTTGGGGACAGAAGACCATACTTGGCATCGAGCTCCAAAATCCTTGCCCCGGAAGGTGAAGACCTTCATCCATCAAGTGGTGGCTGAGAAGCATGGCAAGCTTGTGGACATTATGGAGATCTACAGCCCACCGCGTGTGACAAAGGAGGCCAGAAAACAGAATGCCCAAGGGCGACAACCACAACTACGCCTTGGTCAAGCTCTGGACCTTCGCACAGGATGGGACTTCACGAAGAGAGCTCATCGCCGAGAAGCGATCAAACTTGCGAAAAAGTTCAAGCCAGCGCTACTTGTCCTTTCACCACCGTGCACGACTTTTTCCACACTACGTCGCCTCAGTGACTACAAGAGGGACTTTGACACGGTGGAGCAAGAACGCCGAGAAGGTTTGATGCACTGGCACTTCTGTCTCTATTTGGCGCGACTTCAACATGATGCAAGACGAGGTTTTCTTCTAGAACATCCTCGCTATGCTGAGAGCTGGAAGGATGAGGCCGTGGAACACCTCATGCTCCTGCCCGGAGTCTTCCACATCTACGTGGACATGTGCGCCTTCCAACTCTACACTGTACACAGATGGTGGACGAGCCAAGAAGCCAACAGCTTTGCTGACCAACATTTGGCCCTTGGTTCGCCTTCTTCGAAAACATCGTTGTGCTGGTGACCACGAACATCAACCACTACTTGGAGGAGGCCGAGCTGCCCTAGCTGCACAATACACGACAGCTTTTGTCCGGGCAGTACTTCAAGGACTACGTCACCACCTCCAAGGCCGTGGAATTGACTATGTGCATGTCTCACAAGCCCCAATGAATCTTCCTGATGAGCTACAGTCCAAGGCCAACTACTATGCCAAGTCAATGGCTCAACCAGTGGCCGACTACATCCAGGAAGAACCCAGCTTCCAGTACGACCTCTACTTTGTGGACTACCACTTCACCGCCTTTCCAGCCCACAGAATTTTGGGGGGAGCAGGCTCAGGCTGATTTGCCTTCTCGCGGCGCTTCTTCGTCGCATTCTGCGCCTTTGGACGCGCGTCCACTTCGAGCTCCTGCCGGTGCTGATCCTGTGCTGGAAAAGGCGAAGCATGAAATTCGGCCTTTGGCAGAATCAGGGGAGGTGCAAGAGCTAGCTCAGGACTTGTCTCAGACGAGGTCGACATCGTCTTTGGCCCCGGATCTGAGGCGAGAGGTCTCGCGACTTCATCGGAATCTTGGGCATCCAGCTCAAGATAGCTTTTTCAGGGCGCTCAAACACGCCAACGTGAAGCCGGAGGTGCTCGACTATGTCAAGAGGCACTTCACTTGTCCCATTTGCTTGCAACACCAGAAGCCGAAGACACCACGTCCTGGACATTTGGCTCATGCACTACGGTTCAACGAGATTGTGGGAGTGGACGTGCTGTTTGTCGAGTTTGGCGGCAATTTGCACGCCTTCCTCAACATGGTCTGCTGGGGAACTGGACTCCAAAATGTGACATATCTTCCTCAGAAGTCAGCAGCTCACACCATGCTGGCCCTGACCGATTCATTGCTGATGCCGTACGGCCCTCCTACTTTGATCATAGCAGATCAGGGAACCGAATTCACTGGACGGGAGTTTGGCGACAAGCTCAACCAAATGGGCATCATGGTGCACTACATCGACACTCATGCTCCTTGGCAAGCAGGCCGAACAGAACGAGCAGGAGGGGTGTTCAAGGAGAAATTCAAGCTGGTGTTTTGCCAGAAACCGCCTCTACAACAGATCAGGGTTCACGCCCTATCAGAGAGCTTTTGGCTACAGCCCTCGACTGCCAGCATCTTTGCTTTCAGATGATCTCCTGGGCCCGCTCTTGGTTTCAGCCTCAGCGACTGATGACGTCCAACGAAGCTGGCAAATCAGAGACATGGCCAGTCAGGCCTGGATGCGTTCCTTGGACGAGGATTCAGTCAAGAGAGCCTTGAAGACGCCCACCAGAACAGCAGATCAATCCACATTGGTTGCAGGAGATTGGTGCTACGTTTGGCGTTCCACCAGATGGAGTGGCCCTGGTGTCATCGTGGCCGTGAGCCCAAACCAGAGGACCACGTGGATCAGTCTTCGAGGAGCTCTTCTCAAAGTTTCAAGAGAACATGTTCGACCAACAACCACGGAGGAGGATCTTGGTCGAGCACTTTGCAAGGAGCTCAGTCTTGAAATGTTGAAAGACATCAAGCACGGCCGCTTGTCCCGCTACCACGACCTATTCCTGGATGCGAGAATCAAAGAGGTCCAGTCCTTGATTGACAACAAGGCCATCAAGATCCTGTCGCCAGAAGAATCTCGCGCTTTTCGACGAGATCATCCAGTTGTGTACTGCCAAGTCGCTATTATGTTGACAGGTGGAAAACTTCTGGAGATGGCAAGTTCTCTACATTGCCTGAGTACTTCGACGACCCAGGTTTTGAGCCTCTGAACCACCCAGGTCTTGCAGCTAAGTCGAGATGGTGCGTTGTTGGTTGGCGAGATCCTTGGATTCATGCCATCGAGAGAAGCGCACCTACACCTCTGTCCAGCAGCATCATGCTCTTCTTGCAGGTTGCGGCGACCAGAAAGTGGACTGGAAAGATCAAGGACTGCAAAACAGCTTTCTTGCAGAGTCTCCCGACGACCAGAAAGCAGCGCTTGTGCTGTTCAATCCCACCTGGAGAAGGAGGAGTCTTTCCCGGCTGCACCAAAGACCAGCTGGTGCAACTTGAGACTGAAGTCTATGGCTTGGTAAGTGGACCTGCTTGGTAGCGCAAGAGCTTTCTGCAGGTGCTTGTGCAGGAGTGTGGCTATCGCATCAACAGCTACGACCGATGTGTCTTGTCTTTGGACGCTGACCCACCTGCATTGAAGCCTTTGCCTGGAACTTCAACGACTCCAACACCAACAAGCTCTTCGAAGGTGTCTTCACAGTCCTCTTCGAGCTCTACTCCGAGCATGAGAGAAAAGAGACCTGTTGGGACCAGCGCCCAGGGACTCATTGTGATTGAGTTCGACGATGTCTTGGAAGCTGGCAACGAAGAACACAGAAGACGCATGACTTGGCTGGAGTCTCGTCTCAGGTTTGGCAAAGCAGTGAACTTGCAGGAGGAGAAGACCGGAACGGGATACGCTGGACGACGCTTGCGACAGCTCCCGGACTACTCCTTCGAGCTCACCATGGCGGACTACATCAAGAACCGCTTGAAGCCTGTTGAGTTCAAGCGCAAGTTCCTGGTCAAGAACTCCAAGAGCATCAAGCTGACGGAAGACGAAGAATCCGCTCTTCGAGGCACGGTAGCCAGCATAAACTGGTGTGCCAGGGAGGGGAGACGTGTTTTCTGGTGTGTTTCCTGGACCCACCATCCATGACGCCCTCGAGGTGAACAAAGTTGTGGCTCGGTTGAAAGCTGTGGACGTCACGATTCGCATACACCCCATCAAGGAGAATGACATCCGGCATGTCTTGATCAGTGACAGCAGCTTCGATCCGAAAGGATTCACCAAACCACAGCATGGAAGGCTGCAGGGCATTTCAACGCCTCAGCTCAACAAAGGCGAGTTGGCTCCCATAAGCCTCATAGCCTGGAAGAGTCGACGGCTTCGCAGGAAGGCTGGAAGCAGCAATCTTTGCGAGAGCGTCTCACTGGCCACAGCCTTTGGTGGATTGGAAAAGCAGATAGCAACCCTCAACAGCTTTCTGAAGTCCCGCTACGATGTGAGGCAAGAGCTTGAACAGCATGATGATGGAGGACTTCGAGTCAGCCGACCGTGATTGCTGCTGAGGATGCCACTTTCCAAGATCCGCTGTCGGTGGCCATCATTCGACAGCAAAGGCATCTTCGACGCCGCCTCCAATGAGCAGAGCCAAGGAGAGTGCGATCGAACCGCACTTGAAGTTGCCCTGATCCGAGACAGCATGTCGAAGACAAGGTCAAGGATCAGGTGAGTTCCCCACAATCGGAATCCTTCTGACATGCCCACCAAAGTGGCGCAGGCTCATGAGATGCCTCTGATGGAACTTTTGAAAAGCGCCGTGTACAAGCTTCAAGTCGAAGCAGAAGTTCTAGAGGCTGGACGACAGTCAGAGCAGCGACTGAAGTCTAAGTACCCTCAAAAGAAAGATAAGGGAGCTGATGAAGACATGTTCACTCTTGAGGACCCTTGAGACTTCAGTCGAATGCCGTCGCTGTTTAGCGCTTTGATCCGGTTGCGCAGTTAGGAAAGGGAGCGTTCGCCCGCAGCGATAGCGGTTGTTTTTTCGACATCCTACCTCTACAGATGTAACTATGATTTCTGTATACGCACCTCACAGTAATTACGAGACTGAAATCAAGGAGCGATTTTACGATGACCTTTCTGATTAAATAGGAGCTTGCAAAGGGCGAGACTTCATTGGCGGAGACTTAACGCCCGCATTCACTTTGTAAGGGAAACGGATACAGATGTTTGTGGACCATATATTCTCGGAAGGGGTATGGAATACTTGAATACTATGAACGAAAAAAACCAAGGAAAGTAGAGCATTGTTTCTCGGATTTTGCAAAATGCATCATCTGAGAATTTTAAACTCCGTGTTTTCCAAGCCGCCTGAAAAACTGATCACTTATCGGGAGAAAACCAATGGTTCTGACTTTGACCGTTGACCCACCTTTTGATGCTTATCGCTATGCACAACTCGATTACTGGTTGACAGGTGAGGCTTGGAAGCGGAGTTGCGCAGATGTACAGAGCCGCAAAGACATTTCTTTTGACTCGGATCATTTGATACTTGAAGCCCGGTTAGAACTATTGCCTTGCCAGCGAGCGCGGGATGTTGCTAACGTTACCAAGTTTGACAAACCAGACTTCCAACAGTGGGAAAATTACAACCTTGAATTTAAGATGTTGGTTTCTCAGTCCTCATTGTGTTATGATGATTTCCTTAGTAATATCCTGCGCGCTGCAAGTAAAACACTCAATCAAGTAAAACACTGAATCCTGTTCCAAAGCAGAAGAAAACACATTATATTACTAGGTGTACATGGGGATTAATTGAACAAAGAAATAACCTTAGAACACAAACTGGCAAAGAACATGACGTTAAACATTTGAACCGCCATATTGCAAAATCTGCACACGACGATCGAAAAAATCAGCTCATTGAACAGTTTAACGAAAATCCAGAAGACAAAAACAAAAAAAGGGTTATGGAAAGCAGTGAAAGACTTAAAGCGGAAATTCACTCCGCAATTTGTACAGATGAAAAATCAAAATGGGACATAAGTGCCTGTAACGCAGCGAGCCCAAACGATAGCGGAATATCTGGAAGACGTTCATTGGAAGAATGATGCTGATGCTGGAACTCCACAACAAAATGAAATCATAGGACCCAACAATGCGGATGAGACACCCTTCACCTTGGAAGAATTATCTCAATCTCTTATACCGACGGACTGGAAGTTAGAATGTGATTTTGGAAACGCGCGGG